CTGTATTGATATTAGCTAGCCAGTCATCTTTTAGCTAACAGTACCTGCATCCAACAGCTTTACTCAACTCAGTCGGTTAGTTTGGGGGAAAAACTGTGCAAAGTTCTTTGGGTTTTGCTGGTTTACTGCCATGATTCTAACACACCTGAGTAGCTCTGCACAGTAGCAGCTGCCGCACAGGTGTAAACCCAGCGCGAGCGTCGTAGCGCTCATGTTGCGTTTAAAGGCGGCTCGGAATAACAGGATACCACATGTTAACAACGGATTAAACAGTTTTAACTGCTGATAAAAGTGACAGAGGACACATATATGGGAAGTGTGGAAGCCCCTACTGTATCAAATTGACATAGGAATAACAGAGAGTTGGCCATTCTAAGGTAAAAACCCAGCGCATACAGCGTTCGTATTTTTATTTTTATTTTCATTTTCATCCAGATGGCTTCCCGCGCACCTCCTTCCCCCCAAGCAATGGCAGGGCGCCCCACCTAGGGAACGCGCCCCACAGTTTGGGAACCTCTGCTGTAGCTAATCACTGAAGGGCTTAGCACCACAATACATAAAAGATCTGTTGTTGTCATATCAACTTTCCAAAACACTCAGGTCTTCTGGTTCAAGTCTACTGTGCATCCCCAGAATCCATGTTTGCATTCTCCAAACATGGAAAGGCAGCATTTAGTTTTTCTGCTCCTTCAATCTGGAACAAACGTCCACAAACCCGTTTAAACAGTGAATTCCTACGAATGTTTTTTTGTTTTTGTGTCTTCTTTATTTTAATTTACTTAATAAACGATAGTGCATATTAACCAAGCCACCATGTAAGCATTCCAGAATGAGCAAACAAGGCTAATCTTTACCTATAGCTTTACATGTACTGTTATTTTGAATTTGCTTGTTGTAACTGTAATGTCCTATACAAATAAACTTCCCTTTCCTCAAATCCATTAAATTGTGGTCACTTAACTTTTAGTACACAAAGACAAACTACAATGGCTGTATTTTTGCAAAATATATCAGCAGCTAAATTAGAGCAGCTGCAAAATGGTACATGACCATAATACTTTAGGTGGCTAGGTGAAGGAGCGAAAACAAAGCATACTTTTTCAATTTTTATTGAATAAGGTATTGCTCTTTCCCTCGAATTAAGCTTTTAACTAATTTATGTACAAGAGCCCTGTAATATACCAGCCGATCCCCGCTTTAAAGCAGACTTTTTGTCTTTCTACTAAGTTTGATGCTATATAGCGGCTAATAGCCGAGGCTAACATGCTGGTATTAGACGTCCGGTTACGAAACTTCATTATGACGCAGTTCACCACAGCTGCTTAGATTGTGATCCAAAATACTTTAAAAATACATCAACTGAACAATTACTTACCACAATTTGGTTTTTAATCTACGATTAAATTCACGAAGTTACAAACTGATCACAGTGACGTCATTCACCTGCGACATCCAAACATGTCGATGACGCGAGTGGTCCTCCTGTGCTACAGA